CTACTGTGCTAGGCCCATATTTTCTTCTAGAATTATGTCATTTTATATTTATGCTTAAATTTGTGATCCATCTGTTACTGGAAAGGGGTCTGGATCCAGACCCCAAGAGAGGGTTCTTGAATCTCAAGTAAGAAAGAATTCAGGGCGAGTCCATACAGTATAATGAAAGCAACTTTATTAAGAAAGTAAAGGAATAAAAGAATGACTATTCCATAGGCAGAATAGCCCCAAGGGTTGCTGATTGCCCATTTTTATGGTTATTTCTTGATGATATGCTAAACAAGGGGTGGATTATTCATGCCTCCCCTTTTTAGATCATATTGGATAACTTCCTGATATTGCCATGGCATTTGTAAACCATCATGCCACTGGTGGGAGTGTAGCAGTGAGGGCAACTAGAGGTCACTCTTATTTCTATCTTGGGCTTCTGCTGGCTTCTTTACTGCAACCAGTTTGATCAACAAGGTCTTTATGACCTGTATCTTGTGCCAATCTACTATTTCATCTTGTGACTTAGAATGCCTAACTGTCTGGGAACAGGGCCCAGTAGGTTTCAGCCTCATTTTACCCAACTCCTATTCAAGATGGAGTTGCTCTGGTTCAAATATCTGTGACACATCCAGAAATCTTTTTGAATAAGTACTGAACTAGAATCTAATCTTTTTTTTCAGATAGCTATTTCATTATTTCTGTGCAATTTGTTTAATTATCTTTTTTAAGTAAAGTGATGCCTTTATAATATCCTCTGGTATTGTGACATAAGAAGAAATTATTTAATATATTTGGTCTTTGTCCCTAGTTCCTGACTGCTGAACTCCTAAAACTCTAAGAATTCCTTAAGCGTTGAGTGTCTTTGGTATGTTAATGAGATGACCCTCAACAGAGGGGCTCCTGGATAGCTTCAATATGAGAGCTGGTTTTCAGAAACACCAACCTTGTGATTAGAGGGTTGGAACTTTGAACCCCACCCCTGGACCTCTGAGGACAGGAGAGTGACTGAAGATTCATCTAACCACCAATTGCCAATGATTTAATCAATCATACCTATGTAATTGGACAACTATAAAAATCCTAAACAATGGGATTTGGGGAACTTGCCAGTTGGTGAATACATCAGTGTACTGAGAGGATAGAGCACCCCATTCCCTTGGGAACAGACACTCCAGTACACTTCCAGACATTGTCTTACCTAATATTTTTCATTTGGTTGTATACTTGTATCTTTTATAATATCCTTTGTAATAAACCAGTAAGAGTAACTGAAGTGTTTCTTCGAGCTCTATAGAGCAAATTATTGAAACTGAGGAAGGAGTCCTGGGAATCTCCAGTTTATAGCCATTTGATCAGAAGGATATGAGGCCCATGACATATTATTGGCATCTGGAGCGGGGGGCAGTTTTGCGGGACACGCCCCTTTACCTGTGGGGTCTGCACTAACTCTGAGTAGTGTCAGAACTGAGTTTAATTGTAATTAGTGTCCTAAGAGTTGGAAAATTGGCTGGTATGGGGAAGAAAAACCCCACACACACAGTGACAGAAGTGTTACGGATAAAAGCAGTTCAGCTATACTAAGTATCTGATAGTATTCAGATCTAACTTTGAAGCCCTATTCTGTTTGTGTGTATATCAGTATGTGCATACGTGTGTTTGTGTATGTGACTTGCATGCCTTTGCTTTATAACAATACATTTTTTTCTTCCATTAAGGTTGTTCCCACCATGACTATGTTATTCTTACAGAATTTTTCTGGATATTATTGCTTATTTGTTTTTCCCCACAAACAATATAATCAGTGTCTCTCAATAAAGTATTTTTGTTAGGATTCTCTTAAATTTTGAGATTAATTAAGGAAGAATTGACAGCTTTATGATGAGAAATTTTTCTATCAAAGGGTGTGTCTACTTTTGGTAAATTTTGAGTCATAGTATTTCAGAGTTTTACTTATATAGGCTTTCATCATTTCTTGCTAAGTTTACTCCTGAGATATTGATTAATTTTTGGTATGATAACTGATTCATTGAACAAGGGTGCTCTTAGAGTGCAACCATAAAACTTAATTTTTTATCTTCCTTTTCCACTGCCCATTCATACTCTTGGAGGATTATATTTTCCCCGACTCTGGTAGAAATCACAGGCAGGCCCATACTCTATCCACTTACTCCTTGTATTAGTCGGTTTTCATGTTGCTAATAAAGACATACCTGAGACTGGGCAATTTACAAAAGAAAGAGGTTTAATTGGACTTATAGTTCCACTTGACTGTGGAAACCTCACAGTCATGGCAGAAAACGAGGAGGAGCAAGTCACATCTTATGTGGATGGCGGCAGGCAAAGAGATAAGCTTGTGCAGGGAAATTCCTCTTTTTAAAACCATCAGATCTTGTGAGTCTTATTTACTATCACGAGAACAGCACGGGAAAGACTTGCTCCCATGATTCAATTACCTCCCACTGGGCCCCTCCCACAACATGTGGGAATTCCAGATGAGATTTGGGTGGGGACACAGCCACACCATATCACTCCTATATAATTTTAGTCAAACAACAGCAAAAACATAGTTTCTCCATAGAGTGCTTGTTCATTAATCAGCTTTCTGAATCTCAAAGTTAAAGCACTCACCTCCCACCCACTCATCTCAGACCCTCTTCAGGCCAGCCTTCTGCAATACAGGAAGGGTTCTGGCCAGATGTTTCTTTCTTTCCTTGAGTTGCTTCTGTTTTTGAAGCCCCCATGGTTGGCACTGATTTCCTGGCTCCAAAAAAGCTGACTTTCCAGGTTTGCTGGGTTGAGAAAATCAGCTCCTATTTTGGGGGTGTGTCTCTGAATTCTCCAGAGCCCCCCAACTATTAACATTACCTGCCTGCATCTTGTGATGCAGGTGATTCATTTTTCTCCAGCTGAGCACTTAACATCTCTCTTCAGTTTCTAAGAATCTAAAGCCTTCTTCCCCTTCCCCTCCATCCTTATTTTGGAACCCCATACCTCTTCAGGAAGTCCTCTTGGCCAGATTTTGAAATGGCTTCAAGCCATGCCTCTCTTCCACAGGGTTCAAGTCCATCCACAAGAAACATTCGCACACCATTGCACCCACCTGTAAAAATGCAGCTCCTGCCTCCAGCAGATGACCATATCTCCCCTGAAATAAATGTTCCTTTATCTGCTTGTCAAGAGAAAGTTTGCTCCTTAAGATTCCTCAGGCATGTGTCTACACAGGGCTCTCCTCCCCACACCAAGCTGGCCTTAATATTGTCCTCAAATTGACTATAGGCTCCTCATTTCCCTTTTCTTAGAGCATTTGCTTTAGAGAACTTGCAATTGTAAATTCTTTCTCTGCCTCATTGAGATGTAAATCTTCTCTTAGCCTCTTGCCAGTTTTACAACCCAGAAATGTCTATCTCTAAGACTTGGAAGCCGTCCCTTTGAAATGTAATCATCTAGAAAGATAGTGCCTCTATCTCCTGTATGGTAAAACTCTTAGAATTTATTATTTTATCTACCAATATTTCTTTCTAATTCTGGAATTCTGCTTTTATCTTTGTTAGTTATTGCCTTCTATTTTTGTTAGTTTTGTTCTTTTGAACAAAGTAGATAGTCTTCTATTTTTCTTATATATTAGTATATGTATTCAGTTACTTAAGACTTGCTTCCTTTAAATTGATAAATTATAGACATATGTCAATTTTTTTCAAGTTTTGTTATGAATTACCAGTTCCATTATGATCAAGGAATATTATGTGTACCATGTTGATTTTTGGAATATTTTGGAGGTTTTCTTTGTGAACCAATGTATCACCAGATTTTGTTATTATTCAAAAGCGCTTAGATAGTAGAACTATTTTTGAAGTCCATTTTAAAATAATTTCTTCAAGAAGGAGTTGTTGGAAACATATACATTTATTTAATACATGTTTGAATATGACCGACTCCCCCGACTTACGCTTTAACGACGGTTTGGCTTGGTAGACAATTCTGAGGTCATGCCTTTCCTTGAAGACTAAACAAGCTAATTATAAAGAAGTTTTACCTTCTCCTTGGCAAACTAAATCAAAGTTAATTTTCTAGCACTATTTTCTGTAAAGCCTAACAAAGCTGAAATATTGACTGAGCTACTAGCAGTCTTTTCCATGATTGGCAAACTGCATCTAAACTGGGAGGACTTTGACTAGGATTATATAAGCCTGATGGGAAGCACAGCTGGGGTATCCCCAAGTGCAATGTAACTCTTGAAATTTAGCATATCTCTTGTAGTGGTGACCTCTGGAAGCTACACACATACACTCATGGGTGTTACAAGTGATACTGATTTCTACCAAGCATGAAGCTTTTGAGGCAGGGTGGCCCCTACACATCTATGTGGCATTGTTTCTGAGGTATTAACTGGAGGACTAGAAAATATCTCCTGGATCACTATGAGGATTCTCTCTAAAGACACAGCTGATACATCTATGCTAATATGCTGTATTTCTTGTTTTACATCTTTCCACAAAGCAAAAGGTACAAGAGATGGCCTAGTTTGCCTTACAAATGTCAATATCCAGCCTAGCCCCAAGGTCACTCCTACAGACTAGGTGTTGCAAATATCAAATGTTTAAATATTAAGAATGGCTGCATAAAATCTAATACAGAAGAGCAATAAAATAAAATCAGTCATCAACGGTTAAAATATGTTATACATTATGATACTTAAAACAACATTGTACTTGTACATGAATAGCCAAAGAGACAATAGAACAGAATAGAAAATCAAGAAACAGTTACCAGTGCATGCAAGGTTTGCCATTTCAAGTGGCATTTTAAATCAATGGGAAAAAAAGAATGAATTATTTTACTGACAACTAGTTGTGTTGGAATACATAAGCAGCCATTTAGATGAAATACTGTTGGATTACTCTTCTATATCCTATGTCTTACCAGCCGATTATATGTAGTTAAATCATGTCAAAATTTTAAGAGATAAAGCTTCCTTCTCTGAAATGAATTTTGTTTTATTTGCATTTCAGGAGAAAGTTCTGCCACTAATGAACCTAGGTGAGAACTCTTCCTAGTAAAAATTTTAATTCTAGAGGTCTCCTTCATTCAGTTTTAAATACCTACTGTACTCTGCTTGTATATTGAGATTGAGGCTATGTAATTCACATGATATCTTTCTATAATACTTACTCTTGTCTCTACTGCATTACATTTATGCCACCAAGGCACTGTCTTAAGGTGGTCCACATGATCCTAGGTGTTATCTTGTATAGGATTACATACATTTAAATTAATACATAAATTCATATATTCAAGATTATTGAATATCTTTAATGTATAAGTAAGTTTTTGTTAGCCATTTAGAGGAATGAACATACACACAAAATGTGTATTTCCTCAAGGGACATACTGTGCTATAGGTATATAGTATATGTCCAGAGTACAAGAAGGAGTGAGAGAGATAAAGTAATGAGAAAAAGGCAGGCAAAGTTTTATGACAGTTTATAAGAAAAAAAAAGATTCTGGAGCAATATCATTGTCTTATTTATAACTTTTGAAAAAGCCAAAGATAAGGAACAGAACATTTTGGCCATATCCAAGTAGACAGTCTATACAAAGGGCCATCAAATCACCCAAGCAGAGAGGCATGACTGCAGGGCTTTTACCTGCTCTCTCCTCAGCCAGTCTCCCTTCTGTTCTCACTCACTGCCCTGGGGACTATCATGCAGTTAATTCACTTTCTCACAGAGGTGATTGCAGGCAGAATCCTCAGGAGTTCACCTATTCAAGCCCAATCCCAAAAATGGAGGAGCTGCAGCCAGTGTATGTCAATGGTGAGTGTCTCCACTGGGAGGGGCTCTGAGGCTGAGGCAGAAAAGAAAGAGGAGACAGGAGTAGAGACCATTAGGTGGTCTAGGCACCTCAACCCCTGAGGCCCAGCCATTCTCAATAAATAAATAACTCTCTCAGAATCATGTTGGGGTTGGGAGGAAGGATATAATCATTAAGCCAGGGACAGGGAAGATGTGTGTGAAGTGAACCCTTGGCCACTAACATCTGTGAACTCTTGTCTTCTCCCTGCAGTGGGCTCTGTAGATGTGGATGTGGTTTATTCTCAGGTCTGGAGCATCCAGCAGCCAGAAAGCTCAGGTGAGAAACTACAAAGTGCTTCTTGTCAGATGCATATTCACAGGAAAGTCATGCATTGTATGCAATAGAGGCTTTATTTATTTATTTATTTATTTATTTATTTATTTATCTATTTTTTAGAAGGAGTCTTGCTCTGTTGCCCAGGCTGGAGAGCAGTGGTGCAATGTCAGCTCCCTGCAATCTCTTCCTGTGAGCTGAGACAGGAAAATCAAGTGATTTTCCTGTCTCAGACTCTTGAGCAACTGGGATGACAGGCATGTGCCACCATGCCCAGCTAATTTTTGTATTTTTTAGTAGAGACGGGGTTTTACCATGTTGGCCAGGCTGGTCTCAAACTCTTGACCTCAAGTTATCCACCTGCCTCAGCCTCCCAAAATGCTGGGATTACAGGTGTGAGCCACTGCACCCGGCCAGCAATAGAGGCTTTAATACATCGCTTGCCCTTGATAGGAAATCTGTTGATCCAGGAGGGAGCAAGAGACACCTGGAGGTAGGCTCTTATGAAGAAACCAAACTTAAAAAAAAATAGGGAGATGATCTAATAAGTCTTCATTTGAATGGCGTTAGATAGTCAGGGAGAATCTAAGATTCAAGGCAAAAGAAGGAAGTCAGGCAAGAGTGAGCATGTCTAAAGTCCAAGAGGAATTCTCTCAGGTGAACAGGGTCATTAAAGTGTCTCCTTTGAAGGATCTGCAGTCTTCATATGGGATGGGAGGAATAACTGAATAAATCAACATGACCTAGAGAATTATCACTTCGACATGTAGTTTTGCAGGAACTGCTGAGTTCTGCAGCAGTGCAGAGGAGTGTCCTTTAAGCTTCTGCTCCAGTGCCCTTAAAACTATAACCCTTATACCAACAACCCTAAAAGCTATCCTTTGTTCTGTGCTCCTGGTTGCCTCTGATGGAGCCAGTGGCTCTTGACAGCTTGGCTGATTTCCTGGTCAGTAGTCATTTAGCTACTCTCCTCTGAGCCTCTGAAGCTGGGTCCTCTGCCTGCCTTGCTTAGATTTGTGCCACTTCAACTTCCTATAGGGAGTTGATTACTCTAGCATTCTTTTTCTGTGTCTGACCAGCCTAGCAGAATCAAAAAGTGCAGTCATTTTCCAAGCTTCTGGCTGTAAATCTTCAGGGGAAGGAAGGGGATGTCATCCCACTGTGCATACCTGGAAAAAGGGGAAAAGAAGCAGACATCACTAAGCAGCTCCTGCAACCAGACTCAAAATACTGTATGATTCAGAGTCTGTTTTCTGTTATCTATGATTCTACTCCAATTTCCTTCTATGTACTGAGGTGAACCACACATGGTTGGTTATCTCAGGAACATGAAGAAACAACAGGAAACAGCCCTGGCAGAGTGCTGTAATAGAGAAGGCAAGGGGAAAAAAGTATAAAGACAATGACCTATGGGAAGTTGCCTTAGAGAAGAGAAGCACTTCGTTAGTAAGTGCTGGTGGAGGGCTTGGAAGATGGATAGAGTCTTAGAAGGACTTCAGCATTAACAACTTTAAGAAAGGATTTTACAGAACAGGAGAAAATGGAATTCCACACACTAAGCATAATAGTTATATGCCCTGGGGCATAAAGTCTGGGAGTGAGGCCTAAGTAAGAATGCAAGAGCTCAGAACTATTACTTTTTTCTTAACAGCAAACATCAGGACACTTCTGGAGAACAAGGTGAGCTAGACTCCTTGGAAGTTCTTCATCTTTCCTTCCTCCACCCTATTTATTTTCTTGATCACTTCTTTCCTTATTCCTGTATGTCTCTCCCAGGACTCCCAAGTCATCTACTCTTCTGTGAAGAAATCATAACACTTGGAGGAATCAGAAGGGAAGATCAACAACAAGGATGGGGCATCATTAAGACTTGCCATAAAACCTTATGTAAATGCTCGAGGCTTATCACCTGCCACAGCCACCACATGCTTCAGGAGCCACCTCCTGTCATCATTTTTGTTCTGATCATGTTCCTTCTCCAATATCTTCTTTTACTCATTAATATTCATTGAACTGTTACTACATTCAGACACTGTGCAAGTAAATTATTTCTGCTACCTTCTCTTAAGCAATCAGTGTGTAAAGGGTTGAGGGAAGAATAAGCAAGAGATACAAGGTCTCACCTTCATCTACTGTGAGGTGATGAGAACACGACTTGATAGTAGTATATTAACTTACTTATGTGCTGCTGGATACAGTTTGCTAATGTTTTGTTGAGAATTTTTGCAAATATGTTCATAGGGAATATTGGCCTGAAATTATCTTTTCCACTGTGTCTCTGCCAGAATATTTGTATCAGGCTGATGCTGGCTTCATAGAATGAGTTAGGAAGGAGCCCTTCCTCCTTGATTTTTTGGCATAGTTTCAGCAGGATTGGTACCAGTTATTTTTTGTACATCTGGTAGAATTCAGCTGTGAATCCATCTGGTCTAGGGCTTTTATGTTGGTTGGTAAGTTTTTTAATACTAATTCAACTTCAGAGCTTGATATTTGTCTAGGAAGCGTTTCTGCCCCTTCCTGGTTCAATCCTGGGAGATTGTATGTTTCCAGGAATTTAGCCATTTCCTCCAGATTTTCTTCTTTATGTGCATAGAGTTGAGTGTAAACATAACTTATATGCACTGGGAAACAAAAAGAAATCTGTGTGACTCGCTTTATTGCAATATTTGCTTTATTTTGGTGGTCTGGAACTGAACCTGCAATATCACCAACGTATGCCTACAGTTGCAAAATTGTGATTTTTCACATAGTAAATATGAGTGTTTGCAATAAACTATGATATTACTTTTATAAGTATATAGAATAAAGTATAAATACTCTATGGATTCGATACTGTCATATTTTCTTTTCTCTGTGAATGCACATTTTCCTTTTTTTTTTCTTCCAGCTTATATTTTAGGTTCAGGGGGCACACGTGTGGGTGTGTTATATGGGTAAATTGCATGTCACAGGGCTTTGGTGTACAGATTATTTTGTTACCAAGGTAATTAGCCTACTACTCAATAGGTAATTTCTCTTTTTCTTTTTCCTTTTTTTCTTTTTTTTTTTTGACGAAGTCTCGCTCTGGTAAGTGCAGTGGCGTGATCTCGGCCTCACTGCAAGTTCACCTCCCTGGTTCACGCCATTCTCCTGCCTCAGCCTCCCTAGTAACTGGGACTACAGGCACTAACCACCATGCCCGGCTAATTATTTGTATCTTCAGTAGATACGGGTTTTCACCATGTTAACCAGCATGGTCTTGATCTTCTCACTTCATGATCCGCTGGCCTCGGCCTCCCAAAGTGCTGGGATTACTGGCAGGAGCCACCGCGCCCAGCCCTCAACAGGTAATTTTTCAATCCTCACTTTCTTCTCACCCTCCACCCTCCAGGAGGCCCCAGCTTCTATTGTTCTCTTCTTTTTCAAAGAAAAATTAAAAATTTTTGTGGGTATGTAGTAAGTGTATATATTTGTGGGGTACATGAGATAAATAGTAAGTGTATATATTTATGGGGTACATGAAATATTCTGATACAGGCATGCAATGTATAATAATCATGCCATGAAGAATGGGGTGTCCATCCTCCCAGGCATTTATCCTTTGCATTTAAAACAATCCAGTTACATTATTGAAGTTACTGTAAAATACAAAATTAAGTTACTACTGATTATAATTGTGCTATTAATAAGTAGGTCTTATTCATTCTTTTTAATTTTTTTGTACCCATTAACCATCCCCACCTTGCCCCCTATTGTTCCCTTCACTGTGTGCAAGTTTTTTTTTTTTTTTTTTTTAATTTTATGGCTGTGAATGCACATTTTCACTGGCATTTTTTCATTCAAAATTTTAGGTGCAATGTAATTCATCTTTATTTCTGAAAATACTTTACTGATCACTTTCATTTTAAAAAAATTTCTGTGATCATAAGCCTCTGTGTTAAAACATTTCTTCTGCATTGAATTATCTTTAGAATTATTATAGGTACCAAACTGACCAAAACCATGGAAATAAATTATTAAACATAAAAAGGTAAATTGTATTAAAATCCACCTCTTAATGACTCAGTGGAGTACTTTTTAACATTTTAGAATTGAAACATGTATCCATGAATAAATTTAGTCAACTGATTCACCAGACATTTATTGAAAAATCTATAAGAACCAAGTGTTAGGCATATAGAATACAAGTTTGCAAAAATCTCAACCCTCGACTCTATTTTAATTTTCTTAAAATAGACACATGTCAGCACTGAGAAATCTTCACATGAATAGACTGGAATAAAAGGACTTTTTATTTTTTAAAAATAGAAGTTTTACACAATTTTTTGTAAGACTTGTCTAAAGATCATTAATGTGTCTTTATCACTTAAAGACACCTTGTTTAACCCAAATACTCATGAAATGTTGAGAAAAATAAGAATACCCCAACCTGCTTGACTGTCCTCCTTAGAAGTTCACTTAAACAGTGATCTCCTTTAACTGCCCATTGGTCCTGTCCAGTGATGGCGGTAGGTAGTCACCATGCCCATGCCTTCAGTATTCTGATACCTGCTGGATCCTGGGTTAATTGTAGGGATGAGGTTGTCCCATTTTGTGATAACCCCATGGGACATCCCAACTTTCAGTCCTGGATGCTCAGAGATCAGAAATTAGGTGGTGGATGTTTAGGATGCTTAATTCCTATGAAGGTCTTTCCTAGGGACACTCAAAGGTATTTCCATTTATTTGGTTCCATCTACATGAAATCTCTCAAAATTTCTGTTTTATATGTGTCATTGTGCTTATGTACATTTCTCATAATTTTTGTTTCTTTGGTCATTTTAATGGTAATATGAAAAGAAAAGAAATTCAGCATGAAAATAAAAATAATCACAAGGATGATAATAATCTTGAAATAAGTATCTCTCTTCTTTATGATACTTTCTTTACTGTTTTTCTTTTTTCTTTTTTTTTTTTCTTTTTTGAGACAGGGTTTTGCTCTGTCACCCACACTGGAGTGCAGTGGCATGATCATAGCTTACTGCCTTGAACTACAGGCACATACCACCATGCTCAGATAATTTTAAAAATATTTTTGTAGAGATGAGGGTCTCACAATGTTGCCCAGTCCAGTCTTGAACTCCTGGCCTCAAGTGGTCCTCCAGCCTTGGCTTCCCAAAGTGCTGTGATTATAGACATGAGCCAGTGTGCCTGGCTATAATTTGTTAAATTTATATACATATCACTTTTTTCTCATCTTCACTGTCTATTCTGAACTGCAATTCTGTTCCATTATTTTGGTCTATCCATTCTTGGCAGCTATCATGCTTATTTTATTTTTAGAGTTTAAGATGTATTATTATATTATAGCTGATATTTCCTCATTAGCCATTGTTAAAAATAATAGATAGCAAAATGAGTTTTGAGAGAAATTACTAAAGTGGGAGAAATTATTCTTCCTGATGTTAAGGATTATTATATAGCTACAGTAATAATGACAGGATGTTACTGGTGGAAGGATAGACCCATAGGTCAGTGGAACAGAACAGAGGACTCCAAAACATATCTACACAAATATGCTCAAATGATTTTTGATAGTCTATGAAGCAATTGAAAGGTGGAAGTGTAACCTTTTCAATAAATAGTACTCAAGAAATTGGACATCCACAAGCAAAGGAAATGAACCTTAATCTAAATCTCACATCCTACATAAAAATTAATTCAAAATAGATCACATACTCAAGTGTAACATGTAAATATTTAGTAAATTTAGAAAAAAACACATGAAAAAAATCTTTGGGATGAACTAAGAATAGGTAAAGAGGTCTTAGAGTTGACACTAAAACAAAGAATAGAAAAGATTTATAAAAGAAAAAGTCACTGAATTGGATCTCTTCAAAATTAAAAATCTTACTCTGTAAGAGATCCTGTTAATAGAATGAAAAAGCAATTTAAAGGTTTAGATAAAATATTAGTATCCAATATCCAACAAATGAGTTGTATCTAGACATTATCAAGAGCTATCAAATGCAACAGTAAAAATAAACAATCCAAGTTAAAAATGGACAAAACGTGAACATTCTCCAAAGAGGATTTACATACAGAAAACAGGTAATAATCACATGAAAAGTTATTCAACATTAGCTGTTAGAGAAATATAAATTAAACTAACAATGAGACATCAGTACACGTCTATCAGAATGGCTAAAATGAAAAATGGTAATCGTGTCATCTTACAAGGAGATATGACATTCTCTGAGCATCCAGGACTGAGAGTTGGGATGTCCCATGGGGTTATCAAAAAATGGCGTAATCTCATCCCTACAATTAACCCTAGAGCCAGCAGCTATCAGAATACTGAAGGCATGGGCATGGTGCCTACCTACAGCCATCACCAGACAGGACCAATGCCCAGTTAAAGGAGATCACTGTTTAAGTGAGCTTCTAAGGAGGACAATCAAGCAGGTTGGTGTATTCTTATTTTTCTCAATGTTTCCTGTATATTTGGGTTAAACAAAGTGTCTTTAAGTGATAAAGACACATTAATGATCCTCAGACAAGTCTCAGAAAAATCGTGTAAAACTTTTATTTTTTTTTTTAATAAAAAGTCCTTTTATTCCAATCTATCTATTCACGCGAATAAGATTTCTCAGTGCTGGCATACAAGGGATACTGGCAAGGAGACAAAGAACCTGGATCACTCATTCATTGCTGGTGAGAATGTAAAATGGTAACCGCTCTGGAAAACAATTGGCATTTCCTTTTTAAACATGTATATATCATAAGAACCAGCAATCACACTAGTGAGCATTTATCCCAGAGAAAATGAAAACCTATGTTCATGAAAAATCTGTATATGTGTGTTTATAGAAGCTTTATTCATAATAACTAAAACCGAGAAACAACCCCAAAGTCTTTCACTGAATGAATAAACAAGTTTTGGCACATTCATACCATGGAATGTTAGCGATAGAAAGGAAGAAATTATTGATATATACAAAGATGGTTCTCCAGGGATGTACTGAGTGAAAAAAATCTATCTAAAAAGATTGATTTCCATTTATTTCCACACTTCCATTAATATAGCATTTTTAAATAACACAATTATATGGAT